AACTTCCCCGGTGCGGCGGCGGGTGGCGGCAGCCGGCTCCTCCGGCGTCTGGTTCTTCTTCTCCGGCGAACACTAGCGGTTAGGGTTTCTTTGGTCAGGTGTGGGTAGGGGTATTTATACCCTTTGCCTTTTAATCTTGACCGTCCATCAAGATTGAATCTGGCCCGTCCGATCGCAATTTAATTGGGATTAAATCTGGACCGTTCATCGCGATGAAATCTGGGCCGTCTGTGCACGTGGATCTGGGCCGTCCGTGCGCATGTTTGATCTGGCCCGTCTGTGTGCGCGGAAACGGATCTGGGCCGTCCGATCGTGCGCACGCGGATCGCTCACGTGGCCCGTTCCCTGGTCAGCGTTACCTTGCCACGCGGCACGTTCTAGTTGGCCGGGGCTGCTGACCGGGCCGTTGACGTGGCTGCTGACGTGACACAACTTTTTTAAATTGCGTTTTGACCCCTGGTTTCCGATTTTCTTTTCAAAAATACCCTCAGAATCTAAATTTTCACCCATTTTTTCCAAAATCAATTTTAATTAAGTCCAAATAATATTTTTACCTAATTTTATTATTTTTATTATTTATATTTTCATTGAATTAAATTAAACTAAGTTAAATAAAAAATCAAATAAATAAATAAAAAATAATAAAAATAAATAAATAAAATTTTTATTTATTTATTTGGGTGTTACAGATGAAGCACTAGCTAAGAATGGGCAGTAACTTTAATTTCAAGGATTTTAGGGAAATATTAGTTTCTTTATTGTGATTAATTTTATTTTTATGTTAATTTATTATACTAGGTTGTTAAATTTTTATTAGTTGTTGGTTAGAGACTAGAAAACCAAAAATAATGTCATAAACATAGAAAATAGTGAATGTGACGAGAGAAAAATACGTATTAAACAATCCAAAAGAATTCTTTATTGACCAACAATTCTATTTCTGCATTTTTCTTGGATTCCCTCTAAATTCTACTCTTCTTTATCTTATTTTATCTTTATTTTTTTGTCTGTTATAAACTCTAATTTATCAAAATTCCTAAATACTACTATTAACCATCACTGTCAAGTTAATGTCTAAGAACCCTCATAATACGAAAATTTAAACTACTAGTAACCATCCTTATATACTCTGTAAGATCGCTAATGAACCGTCTTTATATGAAGAAAATGTTGTACAATCTGAAAATGAGTGAAGGTACGCTCATTCAATAGCATCTTGATGTATTTAATTATATCGTTATGAACTTGAACAATATAGATGTCAAGATTGATAATGAAGATCATACTCTAATTGTATTGTGTTCACTACCATCATCATGTTAGACTTTTGTTGACACTCTGTTGTATGGGAAGGACAATATTTCATTAGATGATGTCAGTAATATATTAAAATAAAAAAAGTTAAAAAAGAACTTCACAAAGTATCGAATAGAATGAGAGAGTTTGATGAATAGGGAAAGAACACAAAGAGAGAATAAGTGAAGGAGTAGATCAAAATCTAGAGCTAAGAAGTCAAACTGTTATAATGCGGGGAGCAGGATCACTTTAAGAGTGATTGTTCCAAGTTGAGAAAAAAAAAACAAGAGAACTCTGCTAATTTAGTTGACGACAACAATTCTGATGATAGTGATAGCAGCAGTGCTGATGAAATCTTATCTGTCAGTTTTGATCATGGAAAGAATTCTTGAATTCTTGATACTAGTACTACATTCTATATGTGTCTACACAAATATTGATTTATTACATATAAACAGATGAACAATATTGTGTACATAGACGATGATAGTCCATTGACTGTAAACGGAATTGGTGAGATCAGATTAAGAATATTTAATAGAGCTATCAGAACCATCGAATGTTGGCATATTCCTCAGGTAAAGAAGAACTTGATTTCTCTTTCTACTTTGGATTCTTAAGAATACGGTTTCATGCAGAGAATGACATTATTAAAGTGTGCAAAGACTCAATGTTATTCATAAAAGGTAATTTGGAATCTAGATTGTATGTTCTTCAGGAAAATATAATATTAGGAAAAACTGTTGTAGCATCAGGAATAGTGATCAGAATCAGTTGTGGCATCTACATTTGGGTTATAGGAGTGATAAAGGATTATATGTTTTGAGCAAATAAAGTTTACTTAATGGGTATAAAGGAGTTGTGGGTTTTTGTGAAAACTATAAGTTTGGGAAGCAAATCAGAGTGAAGCTCAACAAAGAGGCAGTCCACAAAACTGGAGATAAATTATATTATGTTCATTCTGACTTATGGGGTCCATACAGAGTTTTCTCCAAAAATGGTGTTAAGTATTTTATGACATTGATTGATGATTACTTTAAGAATGTATGAGTGTATTTTCTGAAATCTAATAATGAAACATTTTTAATATTTATCATATGGAAGACCATGATTGAGAAACAAACAGAGAAAAAGATCAAGTATCTTAGAACTGACAATGGGTTAGAATTTTGTAATTATGTATTTGATGGTTTCTGCAATATAAAAGGAATAGTGAGACATCACTCTTGTGTTTGGTTACCACAACAAAATGGTATTGCAAAATATATGAATATAACACTTTTGATAAAACATGAAACATGTTGTCTCATTCAGGTGTGGGACATGAATTTTAGATTGAGGTTGTGAATACTGCTAGTTTCTTAATAAATAGATCTTCATCCACAACTATTAAGGGTAAAACTCCTTTTGAGGTATGGTCTGAGTCACCTGCTGATTACTCCCGGTTGAGAGTATTTGTTTATCTTGTTTATGCTCATGTTAGAGATGATAAGCTTGAGTCAAAGGCAAAGAAGTGCATATTTCTGTGGTATGCATCTGGAGTGAAAGGCTACAGGTTGTAATGTAGTGATCCCAAGTTTTTAGCGTTGATTATCAGTAGGGATGTGACATTTAATCAGTTTGTTTCACTAGATAGTTTGAAGGGGAAAGCAATAGCATAATTAAATTACAGTGCCAGAGAACAACTAGAGTTAAAAGTCCAGTTTAATAGTCCAGGAAATGAAGTGCAAGATCTTAATCAAAAAGGTGATATTGCAACTTATCAACAACAACCACATACTATGGCAATAGATAGGGAGAGAAGACAAATTAGACGACCACAGAGGTATGAGAATCTGGTTGCATATGACTTATAGTTGTAGAGATAGTTGATTTGCAAGGATCTGGGAGTTCAAATGCAAATCAGGTGATTGGTGTTGTGTGTGGAGAACTTGATGACAGATGTCACTTCATTCAAGGACCAGATG